GCTCATGGCGGGGGGGGCAGCAGGGTGCCCCCCCCCCGCTGCCCACTCTGGGTTGCTGCAGGGTGCTCATTCCATCCCGCTTCGGGAGGTCCCCGTGAGCCCCCCCGTGCCTCAGTTTCCCCCTTTTCACCCCAGCGCTCTGCCAGGGGGCTGGGGGGGCTTGCCGGGGGGGCAGGGTGCTGCAGGGTGGGACCCCAGCTCCTCTCTGTGGGTCTATATGGGATCTCACCTACGTCTGTGGGTCTATATGGGACCCAAGCCCTTACTGGGGGTCTATAGGGGACCCCAACTCCTGTCTGTAGGTCTATAGGGGACCCCACCTATGTCTATGGGTCTATATGGGACCCGAGCCCTTACTGGGGGTCTATAGGGGACCCCAACTCCTGTCTGTAGGTCTATAGGGGACCCCACCTATGTCTATGGGTCTATATGGGACCCGAGCCCTTACTGGGGGTCTATAGGGGACCCCAACTCCTGTCTGTAGGTCTATAGGGGACCCCACCTATGTCTATGGGTCTATATGGGACCCGAGCCCTTACTGGGGGTCTATAGGGGACCCCAACTCCTGTCTGTAGGTCTATAGGGGACCCCACCTATGTCTATGGGTCTATATGGGACCCGAGCCCTTACTGGGGGTCTATAGGGGACCCCAACTCCTGTCTGTAGGTCTATAGGGGACCCCACCTATGTCTATGGGTCTATATGGGACCCGAGCCCTTACTGGGGGTCTATAGGGGACCCCAACTCCTGTCTGTAGGTCTATAGGGGACCCCACCTATGTCTATGGGTCTATATGGGACCCGAGCCCTTACTGGGGGTCTATAGGGGACCCCAACTCCTGTCTGTAGGTCTATAGGGGACCCCACCTATGTCTATGGGTCTATATGGGACCCGAGCCCTTACTGGGGGTCTATAGGGGACCCCAACTCCTGTCTGTAGGTCTATAGGGGACCCCACCTATGTCTATGGGTCTATATGGGACCCGAGCCCTTACTGGGGGTCTATAGGGGACCCCAACTCCTGTCTGTGGGTCTACAGGGGATCCCAGCCCCTATTGGGGGTCTATATGGGACTCCAGCTCCTGTCTGTGGGTCTATAGGGGACCCCACCTATCTCTGTGGGTCTATATGGGACCCCAGCTCCTGTCTGTGGGTCTATAGGGGATCTCACTTATGTCCGTGGGTCTATATGGGACCCAAACCCCTACTGGGGGTCTATATGGGACCTCACCTATGTCCATGGGGCTATATGGGACCCCCAGCTCCTCTCTGTGGGTCTATACAGGACCCCACCCACACGCAAAAGGTCTTGTGGGACCCAGCCCATGTCCCAGAGGGGACCTGACCCCCGGGTGTCCAGGCGCAGGACACGGCGGGACCAGCCGGGCGTGCGTGGGCACGGGTGGGCCGGGGCGGGATGCCACCTCCCTGGTGGGAAGCTCTGCCGTCGCCTGACGTGGGTTCCCATCCCCGAGGGCGGGAGGGCAGGGCACCACATCCCTGGGGACCCCCCCGGCCCCGCAACCTCCCGGCCCCCGAGGGCTGCGGGAACGGCCCTGGCATCCAGCCCCATCCCGGGAGACAGACCCCATGTCCCGGGGGGGGGACACTGAGTGCTGCCCAGGCCTCTCCTAACTTATTTTCTCTCCCTTTTTCCTCCCCCCCTTGCTCTCCCCGCGCCCGCAGAGCGCTGGGTTATGGTGCCGCCGGGCTGATTGCCGGGACGCAGCGAGGCAGCGGCGGGGGCCCCAGGTAGGGACCCCCGGCCCTGAGCCCCCCCCCCGGTTCTGCCGCTGCGCCCCGGCACGGCTCCCACCCCCGGCACGGCCCCCACAAAGTGCTGGGGGTGCTGCTCCCCTCCTGAACCCCCTTCTCTCTGTCCCGCAGGAGGCCTACGAGGAGAGGATGAGGAGGAGCCTCGACCCCGAAGGCTACGAAGACCCCGGCATAAAAGGCTCCCACCTATCCCTTGGCGAGATGAGCAGTGAGTGGCTCCCTTGGGTGCTGGGAAGGGGGGGTGGCACCAGCATGGCATGGGGGGGATGGCATTGCATGGGCACCAGCATCGTACGGGCGCCAGCGTTGCAGAGGTGATGGCATGGCACGGGTGACAGCATTGCACGGGTGACAGCGTTGTGTTGCACGGGTGATGGCACCGGCGTCGCACAGGAACTGGCACCGGGTGGGTGCCAGCGTTGCAGGGGGTCGCACAGGAACTGGCACTGGGTGGGTGCCAGCGTTGCAGGGGCAAGAATGGTTCAAGGTGGCATGTTGCATGAGCACCAGAGTTTCGTGGGCACCAACGTGGCACAGGCATGTTACATGGGCAGCAGAATTGCATGGGTGCCAGCTTTGCACAGGCGTGTTGCACGGGCACCAGCATTGCATGGGTGCTGGCGTTGTGTAGGTGCCAGCATTTCACGAGCACCAGCGTTGCACGGGCACCAGCGTTGCATGGGCACCAGGGCTGCATGGGTGACAGCAACCATATTGCATTGGCACCACATTGTGCGGGTGCCAGCATGGCACAGGTGTGTTGCACGGGCACCAGCGTCGCACAGACGCGTTGCGTGAGTGCTAGTGTTGCATGGGCACCAGCGTTGCATGGGCACCACAGTTGCATGGGCACCAGCGTTGCATAGATGCATTGCACGGGCACCAGCGTTGCACAGACGTGTTGCACGGGTGCTGGCGTTGCACGGGCACCAGCGTTGCACGGGTGCCAGCATTGCACGGGCAGCGGGGCTCGCTTGGAGCCCGGGTCAGGCAGGGATGGGACCCCGAAATCCAACCTTTGCCAAAGCCCTGAAACTGCTGAGGTGCCACCTCAGCCTGGGGACACCTGGGGTCCTTGAGGCCATGACCAAAATCCCCCTGGGGAGGGAGGTGAGGGTGGATCTGGGGGGGGGTCTGGGTGCCCCAAAGCACCCCCTTGCCCTAAGCTTCCTTGATTTGGAGCTGCCACCCCCAAGGGGGTGCTTGAGCTGTGCTGGCTCCCGGCCCCAGACCCTGGGGTGCCCATTGGGGGGTGACACAGGTCGGGGGGGGGTAACGCTGCCGCCTGTTCTGCGCAGGGGCCGGCGCTGGCACCGGGTCCCCCTTGCACGCGTGGAGGGCCAGAGCCGAGGAGCTGACCCCCCTGCGGTGAGTCCCCCAAAATCGGAGAGGGAGCTGGATGCTGACCCCCCCTGCCACCCCCGCTGCCCAGCATCGGCAAGGGGAGGCTGCTGGCACCCATGGGTGCCCGGTGTTGACCCCCCCGTCCCGGCGGTGTGTGTTTTGCAGCCAGTATTTGCCCAGCCGCCGGGGATGCTATGACCTGGACGGGAGGAGGCGCGCGGCCGGGGCCCCCCCGGGACAGGCGAGCGGCCGTGGCGGTGGGCAGCGTGAGTGACCCTTTGGTGGTGGTGATGGTGATGGTGGGGGGGGCACAAAGCCCAGCCCCCCCAGCATTTCCCCCCGCTTCCCGTTGTGCCACCTTGCTTTGCCACCCCTGTTCCCTACGGGGAGGGATGGGGGGTGAGGTGGGAGTGTGTGTGTGACCGTCACCCGGGCGTCAGGGCACGCTCGGCGGGGTGACCGCTGCCACTTGGCCCGTAATCGCCCGCTGATTGAGGATAAATAAAGCCTTTGTTTGGGGTGAGGACAAGAACCACTTGGGGCTGAACGCTGGCTGGCGCCGGGCGGCTCGGTGGCGGCGGCAGCGGGCCCGGAGGAGGACAACCTCATGCCCACGTGCCACGGCCAACGCCGTCGGGGACACCCGGAGCCAAAG